GTAAAATTATGTCATTTTAAGTAAGAGAAAGAGATAGATCATGTGGGGCAGAGAGGACAAAAAAATAAAGATATTGGTCCTACCTCTTTGTGAGAATAAAATGACACAAGTTATGTCATTTAAAAGGACAAATATTTGGGGCTTCGCCCCTTAATGTTATCAAAAAAAAAAAAAAAGGACAAATATTTTTCCCTAATTTAATATTAAAATTCTCATTAAAGCGTGATCAAAACACTTTCTTGTTGAAAGGTTTTCCCTTGCAATGTAGCAACTTTGTAATCCTTGCTGCAATAATGACAATTGGAGTATCAATGTTTGGCACAAAATAGCTCCTCCAAGTTATATCCTAGTGATGTTGCATGCTAATATTTGTAAATCCTTTCATTCCCCATGGAGGATGTGAACATCTATTTCGCGATATTTTTCTCCGTGGCAAAACAAGTTAGGTTCGGTGAATCTATCTATTTAGCCCATTAAAAATATTGGATTTGGTGGCATATTGTAACGCGTTACTTTAGGCAAGTAATTTCCAACCTGCTTTGTATAGCTCATGAGATGTGGTAGGATGGAGTGGGTTGATCTATTAGTCATTATTTTTTGTTTTAATTTTTGTGTGTGACCGGTTATGCGGGTTAACTATTAGATAGCACGCTTAATTTGTCATTTTTATTCATTTATAATCTCAGCTGTGGATTATGCATGTTGATTAGGAGTGATAATTTGAGTCGACAAGACACAAACACGAATACGAATACAAATACAAATGTATTCAACATGAATATGATATAAATTTGAAATTGGGTTGAAATATTCGATACTATCACGACTCGCTTAATTAGCGGGTTGACACGACATGACATAACCTACAAATTCATAGTATGTTGCTTATTATGTGAGTTGACACGAATAACATGTTAATCTCAAATTGTGTTATTTATTATGCGGGTTGACACACAGCATGATAAGACATAAATAACCTATTTATGACGTGATACGACACAAATAACTTTCAAGAAAATTAATACAGGTCAATTTCAGATTCGTGGGTTGACACGAGACATAACACAAATTTTTTCAAGTCAATTTTTTCTAACACGAACATGATATGAATTTCAAAACGAGTCGGCTTGTGTCATGTTTATGTCGTGTCAACTGGTAGTGTTGAAAATTACCATCTCTAATATTGATCCAGAAATTGACCTTTAAAACTTGTCATTTTTTCAATTTTAAATGGGTTAGTTCGTTAATCCTTCTTTATTATTTTCAATTAGTTAGTTAACCTGAAAAATGTATAACTGATCTCTCCAATTTATTCTCTAAAACGAGTCAATATACGCAAATTAAGGCGGGTTCATTCAAATATTTACCTCCCATCAGACCTCTAATATTATGACAGAATGTATGTAAATTGAGTCACGCATTCTACAATTTAAATCATTGGTTTTGATAATGGGAATTAGTGGGGAGGGGTGGAATGATTATATTTAAAGGCAAGTGGTGAACACCACACTCCACACTTGAGAAGAAGCTAAGGTCAGACTGCTAGATGTTAGTGGCGCAATTTAAGTGGTCAGTGTGCAATATTTGTCTTTGCATCTGCATTTTGTGGACTATATAAATGTTGTGGTGGGTGGGGATATTTTTAAACATATAACCTATGCAAATTTCTTACTAGAGGTGTTTGGTAGGAGGTGAAAAAAAAAATTTCTAGCAAAATGGGATGGGAAAATTATTTGTCTATGTTTAATAGGAGCTGAAGGAAAAATATGACTGAAAAAATTATTTTTCCATCACTTATTTTTCTATGTAAAATAGTTGGAAAAGATTACCATTGAAGAAGTATAATTGTTTTTTTTTTTCATGTGATGGAAAAATTAACATACAACGTTAGTAAAATTAACTCAACATTCTCGGAAACGTTTTGGCCTACCAAACACTTTCTAGTAATTTACCTAGGAAAAAAAATTCATTATATTCTCAGAAATTATTTTTTTCCGATAATTTTTTTTTCTTTTTTACTAAACGCCCCCTATATCCTAATGTCTTATGTGGTGAGGATATTTATTTTAGAGTAAATACCTTTCTGGGTTATTAATAAAAAAAATGCGAAATCTATTTTAATCCCTTAGAAAAAAATATTTATATTAGTCTTTTTTGAGAGACTAACGATGGATCTTTTTTGAATTTCAAAGGAATCATAATTTCAAATAACTGAAATTTTAGAAAGACCACAAATCGACTTTTTTTAAGGAATTAAAATAGATTTCGTGTTTTTTTGTTGAGGATCCAAAAGAGTATTTACTCTTTATTTTACCATGATTGGAAAAACACGACTGATCTACAAAGTAAGATCCCGTTTGGATGAAATACTTATATTGCCTCATTGTTTTTTTTTATAAAATACTTATATTGCCTCATTCATTCACTTTAAAAACTAAATAATTAATTATTATATTTATAATTATCAATCATTACTAATGATTAATTAATCATTAATTATTACAAATAATAATTAATAAAAAATATATAAACCAAATAAAAAATATAATAAATTAAAAATATATTCAACAAAATCTTATATATATATAGAAACAAGATTAACTTATATTGATATAAGTTATATTCTAATTTTTTTTTATTGATCTCACTTATATTTAATGGCTCAAGTGACTAACATATTTGAGCCTTTATATATAAATAGATTAAAAGTTAAGATTGAATGTAATACTTATTATTCTTACATTAATATAAATTGATTATTCATTATGTATGTATAAGGTATGAATATATATATATGAGGAGGGATATTCTCACTACTAAAATTTTTCACTACCAACTTATTACTTATCTAATCACCATTAAATTAATATTTTCTCTTTCTTCAAATTTTTTTTAGCATTCTCTCTCTTTGATCTAATGATGATTAGATAGGTAGTAAGTTGGTAGTGAAAAATTTTGGTAGTGAGAATAACCTCCCTCTATATATATATATATTACTTTGGGAAATATTACTCTCCTTTTACATGAGGTAACTTATCTCATTTTCTCTCACTTCGATTTTCGCACCCCACTTTTATTTTTCTTTTTTCTTGTAATTGTGGGACCCACCCATTTTCTCTCTACCACATAAGATAACTATCTTATGTGGAAGGAGATTAATAAAACCCTATTACTTTTTATGTAAAGAGAAATATCGTACCTTAAAGAAAAGTGTTGCTTCCTAGTTTTACATACATAAAACTAAGGGAAAAACTATTCTTATGTCACATGACATAAGTTTTTTCTCCTATCCATTCTTCGATAACTGTGTCACATTTTTCTTTTCTTTTATTTTTTCAGGTGGTGGAGCCCACTAGTTTGTCTCTATGACATGAGATAACTATCTCATTTAACATGAGATTAATAAAACCCTAAAACTAAAGATAACATGAAAAAGCATATTCCCACGAGTGACTCTCTTACGTCAAGAAAATTTTATTATGATAAATGATATTTCTACATCAAACAAAAATTACACCATGTCTATTTTTATCATTTCTCAAGCTGTTTTGAGATAATTTTATCTCCGGCTACTAAATGATAATCGTACAAAGATGGATCAATGGTGATAAAGGAAGAGAGAAAAAAAAACATCATAACCATTTAAAATAAATAAACAAAACGACATAATTTTGGGGTGACCGGAGATAAATATATCTCAAGAAGATAAATATATCTCAAGCAGCTTGAAAAATATTTTATATATATATATATATATATATATATATATATATATATATATATATATATATATATATATATATATATATTGAGGTAGGATATTGTAATAAGCAATTAGGATTACTATCAATATTACTACCAATTAATTTCACCATTAGATCGATTATGTTAATCTAACAGTTATATTTATTTTCATTTTTGTATGGTTATGATTCTCCATATTTAATACTTCATATTTATTTTCACCTTTGTATGAAAACATTAATTAAATATGAAGAATCATAACCATATAAAAATGAAAATAAATATAACCATTGGATCAACATAATAGATCTAACGGTGAAATTAATGGGTAGTAACATTGATAGTAACCCTAATTGGTTGTTATAATATCCTAACACATATATATATATATATGGGGCAGGTTATATTTACAAACTTTTTTGTTTACAAACTCTTACAAACTACACTAAGTACGACCGGTCATACTTTAATCATGCAGTGTACGACCGGTCGTACTTAGTGTAATTTACAAAAAAAAAATTGTAAACAGATCTTATCCCTATATATATATATATATGCAAAAAAATTGTTTACAAGGAGATAAAATTATCTCCTGCAATTCCAGAACGATATCATTCTTGAGTTTAGTATTAAAAATAAAGGATATTTTTAAAATTTTATTTTTTTCTTATATAATGAATTTTATCAAAATACCTTTTATTTTTAACCTTAAACCTCAAAACAATATATTTTTAAGGTTATAGGAGACAATTTTATCTCCTTGATAGAAGAAACATTAATCCCATAAAAAAATGAATTTAATATTTATCATGTTGCAAATGTGTATCCCCCAAGATACTTATTAATACACAGTTAAATTTATAAAAAAAAAAATTTATAAATATAATATTTCCTTCTTTTATTAGGTAAATATGTAATACATAGCTCTTCTCGAAATCCAATATTCAGGTGATGGAACGATCTTCGGAATAGGATTTCAGCGCCCATTCTAAATATCATTTAATTTCAGCAGCTTCCCTTGCTAACTGAATTGACAGTACCCAGACACAGAGACAAGGCAAATAATTAAATACCAATACATGACGGAAGGAAACATAACTAATTTAAGAGTTCATTGCTTCCTTCTCCATACATATATCGTATAAAAAATAAGCATGATAATAATATCTCTATATGACAAAAAAGTTGTACACGAGACAGGAAAAAAATGCATAGCATCATCAAATGATCCCTGAAAAAGACACTAAAAGTCATACCTGCAAGTAAGTTTCAAGCTTCTTCTTCAAAGTCGTATACTCTTGATTGATTTGTTGGAAAGTCCTGAAGCATCTGAAAAGTGTATTCTCATGACATTACAGATCCATACTATTAGTAAAAGAAATTACGAGAGCGGTAATTCAAAGAAATTTGTAATTTATACACTAATATTTTTTTATATTATCTTTATATTTTTTTATTGGGAAATTAAATTAGTATAAAATATATATTAAAATGCACTCTTTATTTTATTTATTAATAAAATAGTGTAAGAATAACGTAGTAATAATAATAATAATAATAATAATAATAATATGTAAATAACATTATGAGGGTCCAAAACTGGTCCTCATTGTTGCGTAGAGGTGAAAAAATCAGTTACCCCTCAAAGTTTTTTGCTGCGCAATATTCGCTGAATCTAGTACATTCATTCTTCACCTTCTTTGCTCCAATGCTGTCAATAAAAAGAATTTCAACCAAATTATTAAATGATTGATAAGTTTAAGGGTTCCATTTTTTTCATGTTGATGAAAAAAAGTTATCTCTTGTAAAAAAATAATTATATACTGGTAATACATAGTTAGAATGGTAAAATTATTTTTTTTCTCTCCGTCATATCAATCGATAATGTCTGAGGAGAGAGAAAAATAAAGTAACTTTAATATTATAATTATATACTATCTCTAATACATAATTTTTTTTTTTTGCATGAGATAATTTTTTTCCATCAATATAAGAAAAAAATTTCCGTAAGTTTAATAATAATAATAATGGGGATTGTTTTTCTTATGTTGCATAAGATAAAACAATCATTCTAGACAGACAAATCTTATTTTGGACTCATTTTAAATTTTTTTCTTTTTTCCTATTCTCTCTCGTCTCTCTTCCTATTGTGTGTGTAAGAAGATTTTTTTTATCTTATGCAACATAAGAAAAACAATTCTCAATAATAATAATAATAATATATTCAAATAATTAGCCTTGAATTGAATCAATATCTTAATTAAGAAGCTTTGACTAAGGAAAAACTTAAAAATTGTATTCTCAAATGGAAGCACTTCACCTAGAGCAACTACCCTTGAATTGATGCATGTAATCTTCTAGCCTGGCGAAATTCGTAGGTTTACTCATCCTGTGTAGCACATTAGAGTTGACAGGAGAACAAGAGAAAAGTAGTCATCGTTGAGCGATTGCTTTCTCAATGAGATAGCTAGAATTCACTTACAGTGCTTGTTCTATGTTGTAGACCAATCTTACAGAGTTGCTATAGAATAGGGTCACAATTTCTTCCACAAAATTGGGATTAACATCGTCTTGCAAATCCTCTAGCTGAATGAATTGCTCGTCTAGGTACCCCTACAACAATATGAATAAAAGTAATTCTCCATGTGCGGAGTAAAATTTTCCCCAAAATATAAAATGGAAAACTGCTTAAAGAGTTTTCCTCAATTTCTCTTTGAAAGTATAGGGCATGAAAAAGAATATTACAAGCTATTGTATGCTTTATTTTAACCTCTTCATGTCTCTTTTCAATAGGAGATGTTCAATTGATTTGACAAAATGTATTTCGTAGGACTTAATGATGATATATATAAGTAATTAAACTTTAACAAATTTATATTTATATATTTTTATGTAAAATATTGTATAACACTACAACTTCACTTTTTATTTATTTATTTAGTTTTGAATGGTTCGTAATGTATGCATACTTTAGATAGTTTGTGCAGTAAGTATTTTTCGCTTGTGCAATATTATGAGATCAGTGTGTATGTATAAATTGCTTAGTATGTCCCATATTTTTTTACTATGAGCTAGGTTATTCTCAAGTCAATTTTTACACGCAGTTTGTATAGTTATACCATAGTGAGTTTCGAGGGTTTTTTTTTTTTTTATACAATCGTGGGTTGTTTTAAATTTGATTTTTTTTTTTAAATTATGTAAACGATAATTTATAATCAGTTGTATGAAATCTTTCTGAGGTCAAAGGTCAACGGGTGATTATGTTTCTGAAATTGAGGGTTAGACTTTAGATCTAAAAGAAATAAAAGAATAAAGAGCCGAAGCTTGTGGGTATATTCTACTCGTCTCGAGAAGGTAATTAGGGTTGATATCCAAAAAAGAAATAAAATTTATTTTCAAAAAACAAGAAAAAAAAGACTGTAGACTTATCTATATATTAATTTATTTAAATCTATATCCGAGCTTTTAAATTTATAAGAAATTGAAAACAAAATAATTAAAATAATATTATTTTGTTATTATAATTATTTAAATAATAAATTTTTATTTAATATTTTATTTTGTTTAAAATATATAATATAACATAAGTCGCGCGACCAAGAGATTTATAAACCAAATATTTAAAAATAATAATTCCATAGTCTATTTTAAATATATATATATATATATATATATATATATATATATATATATATATATATATATATATATATATATATATATATATTTTATATATATATATATATATATATATATATATATATATATATATATATATATATATATATATATATATATATATATATATATATATATATATATATATATATATATATATATATATATATATATATATATATATATATATATATATATATATATATATATATATATATATATATATATATATATATATATAATATATATATATATATATATATATATATATATATATATATATATATATATATATATATATATATATATATATATATATATTTGGGTGTTTGAGCATGTTGAATTTTATTAAACATATCCTATTGTAGACTATCCCTCATTTGTTGTTTAACCAATCTATCGATATAGACATTTTTGCATTATCCAAATTAATTAAAAAAAAAAAAGCAACCACAGAAAATGACAACGATATCTCTGATATTATTTTCTTAAAAAAAATTATCAAGTAATATCATTTTCAATTATAATACCAATTTGATATAGTAAGTCCTGCGCCCTATTCATGCGAGACTGCCATGTGTCGCACGTTGATAATGGTAGAGGTTTATTTTATTTTGAATAAAAATTAATCACTGTTTAAGAGTGACTAATTTCTTAAGACTAATTCCGCATGTTCCTATGTGAAACTCTTACAAAATTAGCCACGATTAATTTTATTTTCAAATATGTATAGGGAACTAGGTCTGAATGGATGAGTTACAGAACTTACTATATTAGATGGATATTATGTTTTAAAAAATATTATTTGAGAATAATTTTTTTTAAATGCATTAATATGATCGTTGTGCCTTAAAAAAAGGAGGGGAAAAAAAATAAAGATAACCAGAATGAATAAATTTAAACGAAAAAAAAAAACATTAAAGACCTCATCAAAGAGTGAGCTTCGCATGATGACAGCTTGTTGTTGCAATTGAGTCTTGTCCATGTCTTCTTTTCTTGAGGGTGATCAAAGGCTTCGATAGCAAATCAAAATCAAAGCGACCAACAAAGAAAAAAGAAGAAGAAAAGGTTGTGTAGGGGGTTGTTCAATTGTTCTGATGGCTAACTACATGGATGCGGCAAGCAGTATTTATAGCATTGGATAGTTCATTACTTAACACCTTTGCTCGTTTTCATAGTTTGATGATATAATGTGATGATTGGGGTGGAAAAAATCAAGAATACTATTCAGTAACTATCATCCACTCTTTTCCTTTCCTTCTCTCTTGAAAGCAACAGCCCTATATTCATTTACGTGCTCTTGTAAATTGACTGCTCTAAAGTTTAAGATGCAATTAAAAGGAATATTACTCAACGAATTCTAGGGCGAATCTTGGAGTAACAAAAAGATTGCACTTTATGATTGAAAAATTATGAGTTTGAGAAATAATTTCTTTACAAAAATGCAAGAATAAAGCTAGATTGTTGTATACAATCGACTCTTACGGGGTGTTTGGTAGATGAGAAATTTTTTTTTTCCGGGAATCTCAATTTTCAAAAATATGATTTTTACATTCAGTTTACGATAATATCCGGAAATCCTAGAAAAAGCCACGTACCAAACGGTTCCTTACATTTGTTATCGCAAGTTTAAGAAACCTTTTGTATCAGAATTTGCCCCCTTTATTACTCAACGAACATATTATCATTTAATAGTTTGAACCATACCCTATGTTGTAGTACTTTTCTTTCTAAAATAGTCCCCACATTTTAAATAAATCAGATCCACTGAAGTCTCAAATATCTGCCAAAGTTGTGTTTTTGAAGCATCATCCAAATAGGATAAATGAAAATTGAACCCTTTTTCTGTTAACAAAAATATGCAATTAGTATAGGACATCAAAAACCCAAATTTCTATTGAAATTAGAACTTTTGTTTTAGATATATAAGATTGATGGGATGTGAGATTAGCATTGAAGTATGATGACCAGAGAGACATTGATTCAAAACATTTTTATATATATAAAAACAATAAAGGATTTCTCCGATCAATGGAAATAAGTTATGTCTGGTGAGTTCAAAACGATGTCATTTTGGAACGGAAATTAAGGTATTTTTATAATTCTTTTTTTTTTTTTGTAAATAAAGAGGGGCTAAGCCCCAGAAGTGTTTTTGTAATTCTAATATATTACAGGGTTATATATCAGTTTTTATTATTTTAATTTTTTAATTTTATAACTCCAAAACGATATCGTTTTGAGCTCACTGGAGATAACTTTATCTATAGGAGAAATACTTTTCCATAAAAAAACATTTTTTTAACGACTTTAACAATGAAATGTAATGTAAGCTTTTAATTTTGATGCATTGTCAGTATAAAATCATTCAATTTTGTATTTGTATTGACATATAGTTTACTAAATTTGACTATATTAACAATTGTAATAACACATCATTAGATGTAAATGTAAACTTTTTCTTTTTATACAGTGACAGTATATCAAAATTAAATGTAATTCTGAATTTCATAACTGATCTTAATGATTTTTCTAATTAATAAATAAAGAAAATATTAAATATTTTTTATGTTTTCAGGACATTAAGTATATTCATTTTTTTATTTAGTACTTTCTCTATCAAATAGTAGGAAAATTATTAAGATAATGCTTTAAGAGGTAAAAGATTGCAAAACTCAAATTAAATTATAATATAAAATACTCATGTTAATTGTTGTTGTGTTATTATTATCATTATTACTATTATAGCGGAAAAAGTATTCAGTTTCAAGTCAACGTATCTGCAAAGAATATAATTTATCAATTATAAACCAATTTACCCCTTCAACTACAATAATAATAATAATATTGAAAATTTGCATCCATGTTTTTTTTGGGTTAAAATCAAAGTCGCAGTAGAGCAGTAATAAACTATTTAAAGATTTATATTAGGGTTTAATGTTTCTAAAGTGAATGTAGATAAATTATCTACATTCATTGCTAAAACGATGTCGTTTTGAGTTGAAAAATTAAAAAATTATAATGAAAAAGACTATTATAACCCTGAAATTAATTATAATTACAAAAATACCTTGATTTTCGGCTCAAAACGACGTCGTTTTGAGCTTAATGTAGATAAGTTATCTACATTGACTGTTGAAAAAGCGAACCCTTTATATTAAGTTACTTTGGTTTAAGGAAAATTATTTTTTCATACAGGAGATAACTTTCTCATATTGTGAGACATTGAAATCCGTATTTTTATTTATTTTTTCTTTTTTTAATAAGTGGTGGACTTCATTATTTATTGTATCTATGACATGAAAGATGTTACCTTATGTGATATGATAAAAGATTTAAGAGAAAAATGTTTGTCATTTTAAATGACAGAAAGTTATGTCATTTTAAGAGAGATATAGACACAGAAAATTTGGATTTTAAATTAAAAAAATCACTCACTTTCTCTCTCCCATGATTTCCGTTTTTCTGTGTCTATCTCTCTCCTAAAATGACATAACTTATATCATTTAAAATGACAAACACCAAACCCAAGATTTAAATGACCGAATCATTTTCCTTTTTTTTATAAAGTGTTTTCGTCATGTGGTGAGAGTTCCCCATTTCTCATTCTCCTTTATATCCAAATAAGCACTGGCGGATCCACGTGTGGGCATATGTCCGCAAGTGCGGACATTAAATTTTTGATTTTAGTTTTTTTTTTCTTTGTTGCAGATCCTTATTTGTCTCTTGGTTCAATATTTATAGCAAGAGTAAATATCCTTTTAAGTCCCTAAAAAAAATACGGTCCCCATTTTAGTTCCTTACAAAAAAAAAATAGTTTTGAGGTCCCTATAAAATTCAAAGTGGATCAATTTAGTTAAAATCGTGGTCCCTCACAAATTCAAAAAAGACCTACATCTACATTGACGGTAGAAAAACGAACCCTTTATATTAAGTTACTTTGGTTTAAGGAAAATTATTTTTTCATGCAATAGGAGATAACTTTCTCATATTGTGAGACATTGAAATCTGTATTTTTTATTTATTTCTCTTTTTTTAATAAGTGGTGGACTTCATTATTTATTGTATTTATGACATGAAAGATGTTATCTTATGTGATATGATAAAAGATTTAAATGACTGAATCATTTCCTTTTTTTTATAAAGTTTTTTCGTCATGTGGTGATATCACGAGAGTTCTCCATTTCCCATTCTCCTTTATATCCAAATAAGCACCGGCGAACCAACGTGGGCATATGTTCGAGAGTGCGGATATTAAATTTTTGATTTTAATTTTTCTTTTTTTTTTTCTTTGTTGCAGATCCTTATTTGTCTCCTGGTTCAATATAGTAAATATCCTTTTAAGTCCCTAAAAAAATACTATGGTCCACATTTTAGTCCGTTACAAAAAAAATTAGGTTTGAGGTCCCTAAAAAATTTAAAGTGGATCAATTTAGTTAAAATCGTGGTCCCTCACAAATTCCAAAAATACCTACATTAATCCCTCAAAAAGACCAAAATGGGTCCACTTTGAATTTCATAGGAACCAGGTGACTAATTTTTTTTTATAATGGACTAAAGTGGGGACCGAAGTTTTTTTAGGAACCAAAAATGATATTTATTCTTATATTAATTAGCAACGTAACAACATACGGAAATGATTAAAATAACGTAGCAATGCAAATTGATTATAGAAAAAACTTATTCTTCCTCCCATGTCACGTATCCATTCCCATGCTATCTTCACATTTGTTTCCTTTTTCATTTTTATAAAAAGAGAGGATTGATTGCAAGTCTGACATTCTCAAATAAGTTAATATCTAGAGACGAGGTCTTCACTGTGATTTTGCTTGCCTTCTGTATAGGTAGTGTTGACTTTTTTATTCATCACTATACTATAAAATGATGATATATGAATGTACTGGAGTATATTCTCATATTTGTTTTGGAGGATTTTCTTTACAAAAAAAAAATTCATGAATGTTACCCCGAACCCCGCCACTAAATGTGCAGACTTAAAGAAATTTTTCTGGGTCCGTCACTGCAAATAAGGCCACCTTAATCCTTAGTAGAAGGAAAAAAAATCATTTATCGTGCCGTCGACCAAAAATAAAAATTATGAGTACATGTCAGTAGCTCATTACCAAGGCTATGATTGTCGATAGAGTAATCATTATTTATCTGAAATATAGGAGAATGATCTGTTTACAAACTTTTTTGATAAATTTTTACAAATTACATTATCTTCTCTTGAGAGAACATAGTAAAACTAATATTCTCTGACGATAGTGTAGTTTGTAAAAGTTTGTAAATAAATAAATTTATAAATATAATCTGCTCTGAAATATAATCTTTAATAAGTGAATCACCTTTTTTATTAGTATGTACCATGAAAGTAATGTACCAAACTTGTATATTTAATAATTTCATGTGATTGTGAGATGTAAAAATCAGGAAAGTAGAGAATAACATGAAAGTGAAAATAGAGCAATAAAAGAAAAATTCTGAATTAGTTGTATAGAATATAAAATGAAATATTCTAATTCATCAATTCATTTGGTAAAAATGAAAGTAAAGCAAGAATTTATAAACAAAAGGATGGAAAAGCGTCCACTACATTTTTACCTGCCTATTGAGTAGAATAGAGATAACGACGAGTACATTTTCACTTTTTTTTTGTTATTTTATAGGATTATACTTATCTTATTTTGCATGAGATAAACAATTTTCCTACATACATAAAAGAGGGGTGGGTCCCACCTCTCTTTTTTTCTCTCCTCTTATATGTGGGTCCCTCTTTTTTCTCTCTCCTCTTATATGTGAGTCTCACTTGTAATTTTATTTCTACAACATGATATAACCATTTTTCTACACCATAAGAAAATTATTTTCCTATCTTATATATCAAACATACTATAGCGTTTTCATTTTTGCTTCGGAGTGAGTTTAACATAATTTCATAGATTAAAAGTTCATTAATACAGAAAATACCTAATTTATGAATTTGAGTTACCTCATTAAGTTTCACGCAATCCCATGGTATGCAAAGAAAGCTATTTTTTTTTAAAAAAAAAGTTGTGATACTTAAGGCAAATAGTTTTGACGTATTTATTTTATTTTTAATTACCGTATTTTCAGAGGTATTATTTTAAAACTATTTATATTTTGAACATCTCTTTGAAAATATAATTTGCTCACCCATGCACCCAATCTTGTTGAATTTATATATTTGATCTTCTTTTCAAATAATTTGTCATATATGATCCTCCCATAAAAAATTCCAATGAATTCTATTTGCAAGAACAGCAATTAGTAAAATATCGACTTAACCTTTTTAGTGAATTCAATCTCTTTTTCAGTGGGTTTGTATAACTTTTGAAAAAAGAAATTTCATGATATGATTTAAAAAAATAATTAAATTATGTGAAAAGTAATTTTATTACTTTTTTGAGATTTTTTTTTTCCAAAAAAACTCTTTTAATTATTATAAAATTTTGAATTCAAAAAAAACCTTTTGTTAAAAAACACGCACACACACACACACAAAACACACGACCCCTGGGATGACTTTCAATAAAAGACATTGTTTATCTTCAGAATATAAAGACACACGAATAAACGCAATAAAACTTTATGGCCTGCTTTTTTTCAAAGATGGAGAGCACCTGGCTCTGTTTTATTTCTAGAAAAGATTTAGTGAGAGAGAGGAAAACAAGCTGAATAATTCAAATACAATTAAATATCTATCACCATAAATCCAAAAGACGACACTGAAACAATCATCAATCACGATGTTCTATTAATTTCAATTTGAAAATAAGCTATGAATTCTGCGACTATTTGCACATCAAATGTTATTACTTATTACACATTCTTCTATTACTTTTTTCATAACAATTTATGTCATATACATGAATCACAGACATATTGACCTCTCCAGGCACAATATATCCATCACCATACAAGCACAGAAATAGTATAGACATTGCATCAAATTTTTTAGTTGCTAATGAGAATCTTACTTTAAATAAGCCAATGGTGGACCCTGACATCTCTCTTTTCGAATCATCCCCACCTACACAAGTCAGCTTACAGTTTAAAGAAGTGAATGAAAAGACACTGTTTATTCTTTTGCTGCCCTTCAAAGAAAAAGAGAAGGAAAGCACATTCACATTGACGTTAATCTATGTTTCTCTCTAATGGTTTCTGCAGATGCCCTATCACATTCACATTATTCGTGGAACTGATTCTGTGGCGTGTCAAAATACTTCTGGATGGGAAATAAACATGCTATATATATCTGATTGGAGGTTTTAATATTCTCCTTTGCAGTGGTATTCGATGTTGATAAGAATGCCACAATGGCGTCATAAACCCTTGATTAAATGTTACTTCGAGCATCTTAATAAAGACATGCTTGCATATAGCTCTGGTCAGCCCAATAATGGCTGTGAGCTTTCGCATATCATTGCTTGATTAAGAATATTTCTATTGTCAGTATCATCTGGCCAGAGATAAATTGAAAAACAAGAGGCTGTCCAATTCATTTGCTTGGGGGGAAAAAGCCCGTGTGAAGCAAGACATTCCAGAAGATTAACAAAATGACGAAAATTACTAATGAAGATCCAATTGATGAGCTAAAAATAAATTGGCTGTGTCACCATCACAAGGACTTAGTGGAGACAGAATTAAGATGACTTGGTCGAGTGTGTCTCCATCAAATACAATGGAAATCATTTCCCAATTTGAATTCATCAAACAGAACAAATAAATAATGAAGGAGATGAGATTGAAAATAAAATAAAATGAATGCCACAACCAAATTTATTGAGAAGTATAAAGGATATATAATGACCATTGCATCAAGAACTTATGGGACCTTTAGGCTTTGCATCAAAGAATCATTCCAATTGTAGTTGTCGAGTATAGCCCCATAAGATTACTCCAAAATTTATAGGGCAATAATAAATCATCCAAAAGGTAGCCTTTAAGTTGCTGTCCCACCAATCTTATAGTATACTTTTGCTTAGCATCAATTATCACTATCTCCTCAAAAATCCCATTGCTTGGTAAACATTATGAAGTGTAGCATCCGCTATATCTGCTGCATTTCTAGCACCTTCAGCCAAAACTTCATCTAAATAACCTGAATCAGACATGATCTCCTCATAGCGAACCTGCCAAAGTTAGAAAAAACAATGGAATGACAACATGGACCCCATTCTCACTAAGGAAAACATAGGGGGCAAACTGTTTTCTAAGGGAAACAATTTTGTCAGCAAAGCAATAATAAAGAGCACAGGGAACTACATAATAGAGCGAAGCAGAAGGCCTCAGAGGATAAATTCTTGACAACATGAACATTAGACTCAGTGCATGACCGAATGACAATATTCAGCAATGGTTAAAAATAACTAATCACAAACCTGCGCATGCCCCTATGCAAATGCATACGCCAAAATTCACCCCAAGATCAACAAATTTCAAGGAGAAATATCCACTATGACTACTAACTTAATACAGTCAGATTTCATTACTATGAACTGGACCCAATTACATCAGCAAGCAACCCAGCCAAGTTAAGTCCGCAAACCTAGTTGTATCAGTGTCTAGGTCCCTTTTAGGGCTGATCAACCCCGTAAATAGGATGTATTCCATCCACTCAAACCTATTTGACCCACTTGACATGTTCAACCTAGTAAGAGGTTAATAAAACCATTTCTTTTGACAATTAATTAAAAATGTGGTTAGGTAGTAAAGAATTGTCCAGTCAGTTTAAAAATCAAATTTTAGATTGTTAGAAACCATGTAAATCCAAAGTTAAAGACTAAATGAATGGTTGGAAAAGCAACGAATAACTAGAGTGAAATGATAAATTAATCTAAAACGGAAATTTATAGAGTTTTATTTTGAGTAAGAGTTAAAATTTAATTATTCCACTAACAAAAATTTATGCAGTCCTATGGTTTTAAGTTTTTGTTAGCAAGTACTTAGCACCGAAGACTTTCAGTGGAGTAGTGGACTCAGATAGGTCAAAGGGAGAAGGTATTTCATCTCTCAGCAAACATGCATGCCTATAAGCTACAAAAGAAGTGTTTATAGAGTCACAACATAAACTGATGGCCTACTAAAACTCAAGCATAGGCTTTTAACACATAATAAATGAATAAAAGAAACAAAACTTGGAATTTATAGAAGAAAGCAACTCGATCCAAACAAGGACAAGTTGTTCTGATTCCTAGTCTCCCCCCCAAGAAAAGAAGTTATAAAAAATGAGTTATGCACTAACTTTTTCTTACAACACGAGGATTGTGCTTGAATAACAGTTTCAAACGTAATTCCGAACTACAAATTATTGTATTTCTAGATTTCTAACAGCTAGTTGATTGTTTGGGCAGAAAAAATGAAAATTGTGTCGGTGTTCCTTGTGTGTTGCAAACACATTCCAGCAGTTTAAAGTTTGTTGCTTCTGCTGAAATCCCATTTTGTAGGCTCAGCCGTTTGGGACTAGTTTACATTAATACCCCCGTTTCTTATAATCAAATAATATTACAGAATAACATTATTTCTTTTGGTAATTTTATATAAAACTATCCAAACAATACTTATTTTCATAGAATCAAATCCAAACATAAAACCCATGCTTTCAAAATTAATTCTTTTCAAAAGTAATTAAACCCTATTTATCCAAACACACAATATGTCAACTTAGTGATTAGAAATGCTGACTAACTAATAAAGACTAAATGGGGCTAAGTTGTTGCACACTTCTGTCAAAAATTATCCCTTGAGAAGACAAAGAAATAAGATGGATTCCACCGGTAAATGAATAAAGGATGAGAATGTAAATTGGTACAGATTAAACAATCATTATTGCGGAGCCATAAAATCTTAACAAAGGTAACATTTAAGAGGTGAAACCTGAATGGGATGCAAGTGATCAATCAAGGCATCTGTTAAAAGAACCTTGAACGTGCCCCAATTCATGTTTTGGCATTCCTGCACAACTTCCTGTAAATAAAAATGGGTATCAAATAAAATCTCTGCAGAGTTTGAAAGTCAAGCAATCCTGCATGATTGGGAAACATTTTAAATAAATATTTCATTTTAAATTTTAAACAGGATCTCCCTCCGTACACATAAAACTTCAATATCTCATCTCGCCACCTGACTTTTGCCTTTACAAATTAATGCCCATGGATTCTTCTCAATTGGCAGCAATATGTTGAGGAAGTTTAAAAGATATTAATGTGAATGCCATAATTTGAGAAAGACTAATTCTTGATCATGACTTAGAAACAGACAACATATTCTTGAAGCATATATCAGACCATCTTAGTAAACTTTGCAAAGACCCATTAACCTAACAACTCTAGCTTTTTAAAACAATTTACAAAGACTACACGGGACATCCTCCCAATCCCAATGCCTATATTTGTTAGTTATAGAAAGAAACTCTTAAGATAAACCATCAAAAAAGACCTTGATCTAATGGCCTTTCCAAAATTTTGGATTTTGATAGAGGACAATGGCATTGTTTGATCCCAGCCAGCTATAGCAGCACAATCTACTAAAATTTGTCCCCTTTTAATGCCTTTTCCTCACTGAACCCAGGGTTTTTGCTGCATGCAAGTATTTTTGTTCGAAAGTTGACATATAACTAATGGAATGCTTAGAGTATCTCTATTTCCAACTAAAATAAATACCAACGGAATTTACATATATATTTAATGGAAAGGAAAATAACAGTAGCAATAACTAAATGTTCTTTCCTTTTAGGCCAATTTATTTTTTATCTTTAAAAGACCAGAAGCGGACAGTTTATAACATTACACACACAAAAGGAAAACCATAAAGAAAGTTAAAATTAGACATGGAAATCATTAAAAATACTTAATTTAATTAGGCAGATTCCAGAACCACTAAGAAGATATTTACATCTGAAATAAGTAAAAGGACAAAAAAATATAATGGATTTCTGACCTCTTTCGTCTTTCCTGAAATGAGCTGGTATATGGAAAGAAGATTGTTACATTCAGGCCTCTCAGAATTGTCAAATTCCAAGCTGTAAGATTCGCCACAGAGTGCACAAGTAATTTGAGAACTTACAAATAAAAGATTCAGAAACGTTTGTAAAATACAAGTAAATGAAGAAAAAAGAAAGCATCTACAGACAAAACCTCCAAGGTCCAGGATCATCATACAATAATATTACAAGTGGGAAATAACAATACTAACCCCGGAAATGAATCAGTTTTGCAACGTTTGATCTTGTTTGCTATAAGCTACAAAACAAATAAACAAACTCAGATGAGAAAGCAGGGGAGAATTAACATCTACAGGACAAATAGCAAACTTCTATTAATAGTCAATTTCAGTCATATAGTAATACGCAAGTTGCAAAGAATAATTCATTCAATATGGTTTACAGCAGAAGCATTGGAAATTAAGTCCACATAATCACCGCGATGGGGTCGAGTCTGCAACGCCTGATCACAAACAAGTAAACTTGATCCTAAGACTGCCACGATACCATACATCTAATCCAATAGGAAACTAAGTTAATTTCTTATAAAAAAGACCATTTGCAATTTTATTTCATTTTATTTTATTTTCATGAATAAGACCACCCTCTGTATTTGTAATACATTTCTCCTTGATATTGACACTTTGTTCTCTTTATTTAAAAGATATGAAACTAAACCTCTCTAAATTCTTCCCAACCTACATCTGCGTGCCAAATAGAAGTAAATGTTAACAAGATCAATTTACTATGCAGACTAGCAGAGTAGCCGTTCAACTTTCTTCAAAGAATGCACATTCGATTTATGCTGTTAGACCTTGAAAAATAATGGAAAGACAATATAATAGACAAACTATCAATCATTGTCCTGCTCTACAAAACTTTGAAACACAACCAAAGTGTAATCTCACATTCATATCTATTGCATCAGACAGGACATGATAAATTTGTTCCATAATTATTTTCTTTTTCATTTTTTATAACAAAAATTATTGATGAGTAAGGAAGAAATTAAAAGCAAGAGGATAAGATATCCTAAAAAAAAAGATAAAGGAGCAAACCAAATATTACGTAAAGTAAAAATAAATAGGAATAAAATCATTAGGGTATCCTCAGAAACCAATAATCTGTGTAGCAAAAACCACATCTCCACTGAGCCAAGCACAACTACCCCAATTATCATAGCCAGCATATTACCTCAAAGATATACCTTCCTAATAGGAACTTAGGGAGACTAGAGTACCAAAAAATGCAGATATGAGAGAACAGAAAAAAAAGAGAGAGAGATAGAGAAATAAAGCTATTCTCTATTATTGAGTATCAAGAATCAGGAAGGGTGATCTCCAAGGAATGTCCCCTTTTATAACTGATCAATGCGCTCCATCACAGATTATTTCAAAAGATGCTCCCCTTATACAAATTCTATAATTTATCCAACTAACTGCTTAGCTGTCATTCTAACTGAATAACTGTGATCCTAATTCCCTGATCATTTTGGTATAAACTCTACATACTTCCCCCCGAACACCTTGAGTCTCATCCCTAACACTTCCCAACATATAGATGCTAAATAAAAGGCATCTTAAAACTTGCCTAAAAGATAAATAACTGCTTTATTTCCCTCTATCACCTTTGCATCCCCCATAATTCACCGCAGTGGCTCTGAAGTTTCTTTTAATTTTTTTCCCCAGAGTCATAAAATTATCTCAAAAAACTCCACTGAAACCAAGATGAGAAATTATAATGGGAATATAATATATATCCACCAACTTTTAATCAGATTCATACAGTGGTTCAGAAATAAAAATCATAGATAAATCAAAGGAATTTCAGAACTTTTTCATAATTGAATGCTACAGCTTACAAGATAATGCCTATGATGACATAAAAATTTGCTCATATACCATATGCAGATCACACCTGCTGCCTCTAACATCAACCAATTACAAGCCACATGAAATTCCCATATATATTTTAAATGTAAACAGTTCAGAAAACAATTATACATTATGCACTATGCAGTAAAGCCTACATTAAAAAAAAAAAAAAGATTTTCTTTTAATGAATATAGTAACTTACATCTTTAGAATCAAGAATATTGATTCTGGATTGATCAGACGGTGCAGACTTTGACATCTATAAAATTGAACCCAGAACAAATGTCAGAACAAAGTTATATGTTCAAATTAACAAATATTGTTCTGCAGTTCAATTCCCAAAAAATATGCCATCGATAGCAGGCAACCTCCTTTAGTTACTATCATACTGCTTTATTTGATGCTAAAACAGATATATCTGACATACCAGCTGAATTTTAAAGAATTAATAATAGAGAAAAGAACTGGCACATATTCTTTACAATTTACAGAACTAGATACAGAAAGTGTGTGTGTGCACAACGTATACACATATAAGAGGGGGGAAAAAGAGAGGAAAAAATAGAAAACCTTGGAAAGGCCATCAGTTAAGGACATAATTCGGGCTCCAGCTGGAGGTATAAGTGGCTCTGGAACCTATATCCCGAAAGGTGCAGTTAGAAAAAAAAATAAAAAAATTCCACTGCATTATGATTTATTAGCTCTTTTTAATGAGTGAAATATAACTTGCCTTAAATAGAGCACCACCTCGGCTGTCATAAATGTACAAAATAAAAACGGTCAAGCCTAATGTAAAATCTAATAATGAAGCTAAATATTTCAACCCCCATCTTTAGGATAGTTTGTATGTCTAGTTTAAAATCAATTCCTCACCCGCCTAATTTCTTCCACTTTCTTCCTCCATATAAATTATTAACCCGGTCAGCTAAGTCACGGGTCAACTCCAAATGCTGCTTTTGATCTTCGCCAACAGGGACAAAATCAGACTGCAGAAGCATGCTGCAATTTATAAGAATTATTCTTATTCAAGGAAAAAATAATCTATCATCAGAATACATTTTAAATAAAACTTTCTAAAAATTTGAGGATGCAGAAACTAATCAAGCAAAGCTACAATCATAAATAAGTAACATTAGCATATTTACTAGGTATTTTAACTTTCATTACTACATCATACATCAGAAAAAGATAAATATAAACACAGACTGTGACTTGTAAAATTTCCACAAGGTAGAGTGTCAGAAACCACCTGGTATAGAAGTATATCAGAAGCCATCAGAACAGGATAAGTCAAAAGGGCAACCCCAACTTCCTCGTCTCCCTACAAATCCAATTCCAAAAGAATCAGTTATTTGGATCCATGAAAATATACAAGCCTGCATGACGAGAACTAAGGAAAAAACAAAGGGCCAGGTTTAGCAAACCTACATTGGCCAAAGACAAGCTGCGTAGTACAATCCGACAGCAAGTAAAATAAATAAATAAATAACTTGAATGTTATTATTTTAGAATAGGCTTTACGATTTATCAATGCCTAAACATCTGAATATAAACTTTTGCTTTTCATTATTTAAAGTGCAGCCACCAAAAGATCAATAGCTGGCAGTACTGAGAAGTGAAACACAATCAAAGCTCAAAAAGGCTGTGGGTTATACTCAAGTTCTTGACATTAAAAACAAAATCTTATTTCCATTTTTATTTGTACTTATTCATGAAAAACTGCTGCCATATATATGACAATTTTTTTATTTTCCAACTGTTCCTAAAATTAAATGCGCAGCAGTAGTAACACTTTCACAACCAACTTAGAATTCAAAATATAAAAGGAAAAAGTCAGTCGAAAGTAAATCTTCTATTTGAATCCTATTCCCAAAGATTGTTTAATTCAAGAATCAAATTAAACTATCTTACTTCAGGAAGACCACCGCCGAGAAGGAAATGAATTAGGAGGCAATAAATAATAAAAATAAAACTTAACACATCAAATTAGATTCATAAAACAGGGAAAATAAGAAATAAATTAAAATTGAAAATTAGGAATTCATACAGCTACAAACGCACCGCCTTGCGAGATTTCTCTTTAAACTGTATCATTTTGTTCAGCCAACCAATTGGTGTTGTGGAACTTAGCAGCCACATCAATTCTACATGTGCTCGAACATGAGACTGTACAAAAACTGAAGCCTGTATGCACAAATGAATGTCATTTATCCACAGTGGTTATGAGTCCGACATTTCCACCATAAATACTATTTCCCAAAAAGTTCCAAGCAAAAGTTTCAAAGAACCTTTGAAGGATTCACTCCACATGCCAGGTAAATGGCTGCAGTTGACCTTATAGCCTTAGACAATTGTTGTACATCATAAGGTAATGTAATCTGTAAGATAAAATCTGAAGGACTGAGAAATGAGACAGTTTCATTCAAAATTAAGAAAACGGGAAACTGGCTTTAATTAGTAATTAAGTACAATGAAAAGCATAAAATTAGTCCTCAAATTCCTCTCAAAAAAACCAATATACTTAGTCAGATCATAATTTAAGGTGTATGCCACGAAGCATGAACACTTCAGAAGAGGAGTGGTATCAAACACGAAGTGGAATTACAAATCCTAACGAGGCACTTCAAAATTTGCTGTGACAGTCTATGATGCACCGACACGGGACACGACACGACGACACGTTAATTCTAAAAATGTCATATTTCGACACGTTAGGACACGTTTTGATATTAAATAAAAAATTTAATATATATAATATAATTTATATTTAATACATATAACCGTCCATAATAAGTCATATAACCAATCAAATATTCAAATTTCATAACATAAATATAAATAAAAATATTTTTTCGTATTTTGTTAATTTTTCAGGTATAATTTCATAACAGAAAAAAATTGATTTATAAATTATTTTTTTATATTTAGTTAATAAAATAAAATTAAGACTTAAAAAAAAAAAACGTGTCGGAGCGTTGACCACGTGTCGGAGAGTTGACCGCGTGTCGGAACGTGTCAGAGCATGTCGGTGTCCGACAAGCAAATTTTTTTACAAAATGTGTGTCCGTGCTTCTGAGGTGACAGTGTTGTAGTGTTTGTGTCCATGTGATCTCCAGTGTCCATGCCTCATAGGTTGAATATCTTTGACCTAAAAAAGTCTGGCCACAATTTATACTATCAACAAAGATAATTTGCGAGGATTCCGGTTGAAATCTAAACGCTAAATAAAAATGAACATCTAAACTATAAGAAAAAGCTGAACCCATATTATCCTAAAAATTTCAATCATTATCCTCAGTTATAAGCAAATACGTGAATTTGCTTGGGCAGCTCAGCATCATCAAGAAGAGGTCTTGAATATTTGACCTATTTAAAAAGCCAAAGTACATTGGCTGCAGAAACTGCAAATGGTACGATATCAAGTCCGCACTTGAGGTAATAGCAAACTGACTAAAGCTCAGAAACAGAAGCAGCGCAGATAAACGGAAAATCCTGAATTTCAAGATTCTATCTTTTTCATATGATTAACACCAAAAAAATCTAATTATATGAGCTCAAACCTGTAATTCTAACAACAAAAAGAGAAAAATAAAAGCATCATTTGGGAGCTTCATGAGTTTAGGTAGTAGGAGGAATATGGACATACCGCATGCAGGTCCACAATGAAGAAAAGTGTATCATATGCATTCTGCCAAATGAAAACAATATCATGTCTTAAAAAGTAATGCGGATCTGTGAATCAAGACAATTAACTCGTATTTCATGCCGAAGCCGAACCCAATTAGGTCAAATATATAAGTAAACTGTACTAGTGTACTCCTTTGTCCAAGTCATGTTATACCTCAATAATATTAGAAAGGTTTTTTAAAAAAAAAATGGTGACCTGGGATGTAGGAAATAAAGAGCGTGCATAATTGGAAATCCCCACAGCCCAGCTTAAATTGAGTATTCAAGAACAATATGGCTGTGTTCTCACCATTAGATTGTTCTGGGAATATTATCATAACTATTCACTCAATACTACTGAGTTGTAGAGGAGAATGTGCATATGAGAGATGGCAAGTGAGATAAATTAAATATTGAGTTGGACACATTAAACAAAGCTTTTTGCGTGTGACTCATAAGAAACCAAAAATTAAACAAGTTCTATAGGTTTTAGTATCCATAGAACTTGAATACACCGATGATAGTAAAAAAGAGTAACTCATCTCAAAATTCCAAATTAAAATTAAAAAAATAAAATGTTCAAAACCTGAAGGGCAACCCAATTCTTGATGGCGCCAAAATAGTTTCCGAGGTGAATTGAACCCGTGGGTTGAACTCCTGACACTACTCGTTTCCTGTGGAAAGAAGTATTTGAATAAACGACAATAAATGAGCAACGAACGACAAATAAAATGTGTATTACTTGACAGAGGTTGGAGTCGGAGTCGGAGTCGGAGTCTCTGAAGAAGGAGTAGCAGATACAGTAGTACAACACCGGATGCATGAGTCTCTGAGGCGAGAACGAAAGAGGGTTGAAGCACACGACCTGTTTGTTGAAAGTTGTTAATGAAAATCATAAGACAGAGTTGGAAGAAAAACGACGAGATAAGAGAGCGTAGCGTGTATAGTGTACAGCGTAGGGGAGAAGCGTGGACAACAACATGATAGAACCACGAAATGAGAAACACCCATCTTCCACCTTACTCCTTACTGGTCAATCTCCACACACTTATCTCTTATAATCAAGTGTAACATTTCACTCTAATTCTCCCTATGTTTCTTAATTATTATTATGTTCTTAATTCCCGTTTTTTATCATCTAATTAAAATTGCTCCTCTAAAATCAACTTCAAAGTATCATTTGATATCCAAAGTAATTTTTTTAACCTCAATTTTTAACAATTATTTAATTGAACATCAATTATTTTAAAATTAATTGTACTAAAATCTAAAATAAATGGACCTAAAATATCTGTAAAAATTTAGAAATAAATCTTCTTATTTTTTTTATTTTTTTGGTAAATATAAAGGGTTTTATAATTATCATTTAGTATGAGAATTGAAATTTTCTTACTTTCGATTTTCGTGCTGATACCAGATCTTACATATAATTTTTTCTAACATATAGATATCACGTGATTTTTATCTCTATAACATGAGATTTTTATTCTCGTTCAATATGAGAATTATAAAACCCAAATATAAATCTTTTCTTGTTAATGTCATGTGATGTATATGTCTCTTTATTAATACTTTTTAATGAAATTTCATAAAACATCATTTATTTGACATGTATTAAAAGAGATAAATATAAAAAACTTGTACTGTATTATGGCATAAAAATTTGGCTCGAGGAGATCTTTGGACTATGCCTTTTGCAATTTTCCATTGTTATAATGAAAGTCACCATTGTACCAGCAAATTTTATTTCAATTCCTAATATAACCGTTTAGACAATAAAATATGTGTATTTTAAAAGAGTTTAATATTTATTAGGTAAAAGATAAATTTATCTCTTATGCACGTTATAAAACATATGTGAGTCGTACGAAGAGAAAAAAATATCTCATATATTTTTATATATGTGTAAAAGATAAATTTATCTAAATCATTTAAAAAATATGTACAGATAATTCTATCATGTGGCAATGGATAACCAAATATACAGTAAAAATAAGGAAAAATATTTTCTATATTATAGGAGAATTATTTTTTTGTGACCCTTCAATTTTTGTGTGTAATCTTTTTTTAATAAATGTGAACTCTATAAAAGATATATTTATAAAAGATATATTTATAGAAGATATATCTATAGCATAAAAAAGGGATTTTATTAGTCTCATATTAAAAGAGATAAGTTATCTCTATTTTCAAAAAAAAAAATAAGTTATCTCATGTCATACAGATAAACTTATGAACTTCATCACCGGAAAAAATAAAAAAGAAAATAGCACAGTTATCAAAAAAAATGTATAGAAAGAAAAACTTATCTTATATAACACGACAATAATTTTTCACTAATAAAAATTTCTATCCAAACATAAAACTGACGAGTGTAACATCTCATTGTGTGTTAATTAAAATATATTTCATGTCGGAGAATTCTCACCTTATATATAAGGGTAGATCAGTGGTTACGAGGGAAGAGGTTAGGAAGTTACATAATTATCATTTTGCCCTCATCACTCTGCAGCAGTCTTTACCTGAGCAAGTTCAGTTCCCCTTCTGCAAATTTGGAATATCAGAGAAAACCCTAGCAGTGAAAAATGGATGAGGACAGAATCATGGAGATGGAGAGATACCAGATCCAGCAGATTCACCAGCTCGATCTTGAAGAATTGGAGGTCGAAGAAGTCGATCATCTCCAACACTCTGACTCTGACTCTGACTCTGACTCTTCCCATGACCACCTTAACCCTACGTAATTCATTTTCCTCTTCTTCTTTTTTTCTCCTTCTTTCTCACAATTATACAATCAAATTTCGTAGAATCAAAAGCTCAAATCAATTGCCTGCAAATTGCAATATATGTAGCCTATCCTATGACATCATAGTAATAGGAGAATTTATTTATTATTATTCATTTCTATTTTTATTTTTTGTGGAAACGCTGACGTTCTTCTACTACACTCAGTGGTGACTATGCTGACACATCTGGAGAATTCACTTTCAATCCCAGTATAACGTCTTTACACTCATATCTTGGTGGTAGGGTTTTTATCTGTTTATTGTATTTGTATATATATTCATGCCCTTTTCTGCTATGCATTTGTTTTCAACTGGGTTGTTTGACTCTGACTTGATAAGTTGATATTACTCACAGATGTTGAAGACACGCGCCACAGGACTGCTTTTTTGGATGGTGGTGCTATATTGAACCTTCCACTATTTTGTCTCCCAGGTATATCTATCTATATCATCCATCCTTTCACTTTCTTTGTTGGTGGTTCTGCATGGTGGTGTAGACAAGTTAAGCAATTAAGCAATAGTGAAAAAATATTGAGAAACTCATGCTCTTACAGGATGGAAAATGTATAGACAATTAGACATTGTACTTTCAGGACCTTCCTTGCACTCTTGAACTTTCATTCATTGTTTGAGTTAATAGGCTTCTTTCTCTGTAAATACTCAATTTCAAAACAGGTTTTGTGCTATTCTTCGCCCTTTAAGAGTTGCTTTTACGTACGGATGGGATTTGAGGTTCCGTGAGCCTTTTCATTCAGCTGCACTGTCTCTGGTTGCTTTTGGAAGCTTCATTTTTGCCATTGATCCTATCAAACTGTTATTGAATATATTTTTGAAAAGTGGTCTAATTATTTCCTCCTAGCATAAAAAGTGTCAAAAAGTTGTCTTCTCGTATGACTTATCTTCTTATCCTTCTTATGCCCTTTCTAACATGCTTTAACTTATAGGAATAACTTTGACTAGTCCTTGCAATATTCAGGATTTGTACTCTTTCCCGGGGCTACTCTTCCCCTTAGAGTTATTGTACCCAAATTTGTCGCTGCTGTTGAAAGAGCTTTGAGTCAAGTTGATGTTCCTTACACCATTGGTGTGGTAGGTTAACTCCTTATGATGACTGCTTGTGGTTCATCCATGCTTGTGTTTTAGTTTTTCTCATAAAACATGATTGACATGGAAATGCATTTGCCTTTCAGGTTCGAATTCACAGGGATACTGCAAATCGCAGGATGAAAACAGAAAACATTGGGACAACTGCAGAGGTAATTACATCTCAATGGATGTGATATTTATAATAAATTCATACTGAATGATTTGCATTAATACATGTTAGTTCCCTGCCCACATATAACCCTTTAAATATAAAACATAGTTCTATCTGTTTAATTTTCATGATTTAGGAAAAGGGCCTCCTTTCACCCAGTAGTGAATTGTTAAGAGACATGATAAAGCAGTAGGCAAGTCATTTTGTTTCAGAAAATTTATGTTGGTAAAGGTATATATCACTTCCACAGTTCAATGTGTATTTGTGCAAAGACCTTTTTGATGCAACCATAGATGTTGGGATGAGCGGAGCTGAATTAATTGCTTGCCTACATGACATCTTATTCATTTATACAAAGCCTAATTTTACAATGCAGCAGGTAGAAGACCCACATCTCTTAAAGGAGGGAAAACAAAACAAAAGAGATCATCTGTATTTACAAGTTATAGTCTTCTTAGTTCTTACTAGAGTTAGATATCAGTGTCAATATGTGTATTGATTTATATTACTTGCTAAACTCATGTACAGATTGGACAATAGGGGCGTCTATATGAGATCATCTGTATTTACAAGTCATGGTCTTCTTAGTTCTTACAACAGTTAGATATCAGTGTCAATATGTCTATTGGTTTATATTACTTGCTAAACTCATCTGCAGATTCGACAATACGGGCGTCTAGAGGATGGTTCACTGAATGTGGTTACCCGTGGACAACAACGATTTCGCCTAAGACGGTGTTGGACTGATGTGGAAGGAGTGGTTAGAAAAATATTATTATGTTTATTTCCCTTTTATTTTTATCTACTTGGGCATTAGCTACGTAACTAAGGGCTGATGACTCTCTTTTTCTTTGTTTGGTTGGGGTGGTTCTTCTTAGCCTTATGGAGAGATCCAAATTATTGAGGAAGATCTTCCGTTGAGAACTCCAAGGGATGCTTTTGGCAAATCAGCACCATTAAGTAATATGCCCTCTAACCATGCCGTCTCACATAAGTTGTCTTCAAAGTGTTCGCGTGTTAAAATGCATGGGTCAAAAAATGGGGAAAATGATTCAGAAACAACTTCAGATGAGAGTTTTGTGAGTGAGCTTTCACTGATGGAAAAGAGAATCCACCTATCAGTCATTGGCTCTAGCAATGTGCATGATATGATGGATGAATCAGCAAATAGCAGTGATGTTGAATTCATGCATAAGTCAGATCAGGAAATTATATCCAATTTGGATGAAACCAAAAATATGGATTCAAGAATTGGGAATTGTTCCACTTCCGGAAAGCAGTCATCCAAAGAAGATGATCTTGATAAATTTGGTAAAATTATTTATGCCTGCCCGTCACATAAAATTTCAAGAGCATTCTGGCCCCATTGGGTATATCGTATGTTTGACTCCTATTGGCTTGCGCAAAGGGCTGCAGGTAGTGTTGCTTTGCTTCTTCTGACTCTTTCTTAGATATTTCTTGCATATTTGATTTTAGTTTTTTTCATTGTTATGATATCACTATTCTTAGCTGAATAAAATTTTGCTTTTCTTTTCTGCATGCTGGTCTGTAAGTATTGATTTTACAATTCAAACACGTATCTCAATGGAAAATTCATGAGCAATTCATGTATAGTTCTAGAATTTCCAAACACAGTTTTGCAGAACCTACCATGTATAAATTAATCTATGCTTTTGTCCATTACTCCTTATATCGATTTGTTTTTAGATATTTTCTTATTCTTAATTGACTGAAATTTAGATAATACAACTCCTCATTTATTTTATTTTTTATTTTTTTTGTTTTGAAAACTTCAGTAGTGTATTAACGATTCAAATTATTTAACAGGTTAATCTCTAAATTTGGCTCTTATTGTGAAACAAAAATGTTAATCTCAGAATAAAAACTAATGGTTGTGTTGATAATCTGTAGATATGTGGAGGCAAATAATTGGGGTGCCTAGCATGGATGGTCTCATTAAGAAGCCTGATGTTTTATCATTTCATATCGCCAGTAAAATACCTGTGTCTGAATCTACAAGGCAGCAGCTTTTGGATATCGATGGCATCGCATATAGGTTACGCAGGGAAATTGAATTACTAGAGAGCATTGATCTTATCCGTTGTAAAAGCTGCCAGGTTATCACTGTCTCCCCAAAGCCCCACAATTTTGCACATCATATTACTTGTGTTTAAACATAGAGACAATTTTTGATATACAATTCTTTTTTAGCTTTCATCAAGTGAGGCAAGTAATTTTTCTTCCCTTTTTTAACTTCTTAAAATTTACAGACTATAATTGCGAAACGAAGTGATATGTTGATGATGTCAAGTGAGGGTCCCCTTGGTGCTTATGTGAATCCAGGTGGATTTGTGCATGAGATAATGACTTTTTACAAGGCAAATGGCTTAGCTCTCATTGGGCCAGCATCTACAGAATACAGTTGGTTTCCTGGGTAAGTATATGTTCATTTTCATGTCCTGTGATTTTATGAACATATCAGGTTATTTATTTCTCTTTAGACAACTAAAGTGTGTCAAGGATCAAGCTATTGCATGCCATGAAGATTTATCATGCTTCATGTAATGGTGATGATGACCTGTGATTATATTTAACTTTTCTTTTCTCACCTAGCGTGTAGTCATTTAAATGTTGTTTTAGGGCCTATTTGGTGTGACGTATAAGACATGATAGTATAAACTAATACTATACGTTATGACATTTTCAGTTGTTTAGTGTGACCATCGTATAGTATAAGCTTATACAGCATAATCCCTTAATACATCAAAACGATGTATAACTTAATCCGGCCTAAGGGTGAGGGATAAGGCCTAATAAAATATTGATGTATTAACATCTTTGACCAATGTAATTCTCAAAAATTAATATATTATTTTAATATTAATCTATTAAAATAAAAAAAATTCAATATATTAATTTTTAAAATATTGAATATTTTTATTTTTATAAAAATTAATTTATATTTTGAAACACTGATCAATAAATTTTTATAAAAATTAATATCATTTGACATTTTTTGAAGAATTATATAAATTCTTTATTAAATGATATTTTTATTAAAAATATTTATTTTTATTATATATAGTATTATACAGTGCATTACCAAATACTAGATGATATTATCTTATACAATATATTATTTTATACAATACCGTGCCAAACGCTGGATAGTATTAAAATTCAATCAGGTCTTATACAATCAGACCTTATACTATCAGGTCTTATACTATCATGTCTTATCCTATACTATGCACCAAACATGCCCTGGATTCTATTTTCCATTGTCGCATTGGATTTATCCTCCCACTTTGTAGAGACATTCTCTACCTGTTATCTGGGTTTGGGGAGAAGAAAGGAGGTGAAAAAGCTACCAGGTTGTGCTTTCTTTTTGGACATGTAGTCCATTTGGTTGGAAGATACTTTCCCTTACTCGTGGTTTCATGCACATGGTTGTTTTTTTGGAGATCTCTCGAGTTAATTTTTTAATTTCACTTGTTTCTTTGTTTTCTGCAATTTTAGGAGGACACCTGTTCTTCCTGTTCTGTATTTCTCTTCTCTTTAATAAAATTTTCTTTTACAAGAAAAAGATATTAAAAGATATTTTGTCCATGATTATTTTAGTGTTAACTTCAGATATTTAATAAACCTTTTGTTTCATTATATTGAGGTTTTTAAAAAAAATTCCCTCCTTAACCAGCTGCCCTTTTAATTTACTTAATTATAAATTTATAATTGATATGCTTTTGATTTATCCGCACATAAGGCTTTAGCTCTAAATGTGCATACTATTTTTGCTTTGCAGATTTTGAGTAGGTATTTAATAATTTTTTAGAATTGGGTGTGCCTTGATACCATACAAAATTTTCTTATTATTATTTTTGTAGGTTTTAGTTTAAAGGAGTATATATGGAAGAGTGCTTTATTTACTGATTGAGGAGTACTTGGGTAGAATGAAATGCCAGTTTTTCGGCAAACATTTTCAGCCATAGAGCTTATGAGGAGTGTCTTTGTGGAGGGGAAAAAAAGCTTCCTTAAAGTAAGTTTGTCGCTAAAGTGCACGAGCGTGTAACTACCATTGATTTAATTAAAAGTGCACCGTGATCTTAAATTATCAAAACTCAAGGGTGGATACACTATTACTTGTGCACTTTAAAGACGAGCTCACAAGGAGGATTAGCCCTTTGTGGAATAATTCCATTAGGGCTAAGGCCGATGCGCAGAGAGATTGGAAATCGCTCCTGAGCCTTCTTTTCTTTTTCTTTCTCTGTATTTTTGTTGTGCTCTATGGAAAATTCTATCATAGACCTTTCAGAAATTTGGTGTCTGGCAACGTTTTAGATGAGTGGGTATTTTTTTAGCCAACGGCCCCTTTTTTCTCTCAATGGCCTCACTTCCTATTTAACCTCTTTACTACCACCAACTACCCGGGGTTAAAAATAGAAAAAGACAAAGGAAAGGATGAGCTAGTGGGCTATAATGTGGGCCTACTCTGTAGATCATGTTTTTGTGAGGATTAGCACTGTAAATGCTACATAATGTGGGACTTGTATTGGGTTGTTTAATGAGAACATAGAAAGCTTATATGCCAATATGCTACTTTTGGCAGGTATGCGTGGACAATAGCTGAATGTGCCACATGTAAAAACCAAATGGGGTGGCTTTTTACAGCCATGAAGAGAAAACTGAAACCCTGCTCATTTTGGGCGATTCGTAGCTGTCGAGTTGCAGAAGAAATACGCGGAAACCTTTAATTCTGCTGATGTTGTAGTGGCCATATAGTTACAAGTTTGATACGTATACATTCATAAATCCCCAGCTAAGTGTGGAAACCCTTGTTCATGTACCCGGCATGGTTCTATTATGTATATGATGCAATCTTCATGTAGCACTGTGTGTGGTGATATTATGTATATAAATGATGTATGTTTGCAATAGCTTGAAAGAAACGAATCACACATGAAGACAATTTTGGAAGCAAATTTTTGTAACTCTAGCTGTGGTGTATTCACAGGTTAGATAAAGAAGCGGCCTATTTTGTTTTCGTTTGAAAGAGCTAAATTTTACATAAACATGACCTGTTTTGTTAATGAGTTTTATGCTCTGGTCTGCGTGAACTGTCAACTAAAATAGGTTTGTGCAACATGGAAATTACAAAATAATGTTTACATATACATATTTTTATGAATCTGTCGAATTTACTTAAATTTTTGTTTTTAAAAAAATATAGAATAACTAGCTTGGGTGCAACAGCCATTAGAATTTCTCTGCTTGTACTTTCACTTGTTATTGGATTGCTGTTTTCTTCCTCCAAACAACTAGCTCAAGCTAAAAATCATGTTCCGTTCAGCATAAATTAGAATAGGAATATTTTGATGTTTGTCTTTTTAAAAGACATAAGTCATGTCATTTTAAGAGAGAGATAGACACAAATTCAAAATAAATATTCCTTATGAACATAGGTTCAAGTTCCAAAAGAATTAGCAACTTTTCGAAGTCAACCTTTGGAACAGGTTGAGGAATTTAAGTTCATATGGCAATGCCTTATACTGTTATACAACCGTCCTCGTAAGCAACAAAATAAATCGGTTCCTAAAAGAAGCTCGTAGTTAAAATACTTCAGACTATAGACTCAATTCAAAAATATCAACGGTAGCTTCGGTAGCCTGGGCTGTACATGCAACTTTCTGCATATTTGACAAGATCCTTAGGTCGAGGTAGATGAGAAGCCAGACCTGTCCATCAAACAGAGAAGACAACATTAAGGAAGGAAAAAAAAAAAACTCTGTCTGAACTGAACACATTTCATGAAACTCACCAAGGTCATATGCCTTAGCTGCCACGGCAGCAGCAATGTGGGCTGATATCTTTCTGATATTTGTGAATGGAGGGTAAATCAGCCCCTTATCATAGTTCTCTTGTGATACTTGTGCAGCCAAAGCTTCAGCTGTTGCAAATGATAAAATGGTTAGTAAATCCTTAGATGTTAGCCCTCACAAGTATGTGTTGTTTCATAGGGTTTTCATCAAATGAACATGCAAGTGTTAATCAATTAAAGATGTTATCAATTCGATACAAAATAAAATATACATATAGATATATATATATTATCAATTCAAATGTACAACATTGTCTAGCACTATAATTTATTTCTAACTGTCTGCTCTCTTAACAACTCACAAGCATAATATCAATTGGAGCAACTCATTCATACAGTGCATTATCATGCTCTAATGATCTATATCTCGCAAAAGTTTCTGGTTTAAATGTACTTACAGGCTGCCAAGAGCATCTCATCGCGCACACGAATTGCACCAGAGATGATCAAACCCAAACCAAAACCAGGAAATATGTAAGCATTGTTGGCCTCAATTGCATAGTATGGAAACAAAATAAAAAATCAGCAACAAATATTGGTAAGTTCTGTCTGCTGAATAACAAATGTTTAGCGAGTGTTAAATTAAACCTGTCCAGGAACAAAAACTTTTCCTTCATATTCAACAGGATCAAATGGGCTTCCACTAGCAAAGATTGTTCGACCCTGCAAATAGAAGAGATGTAAGATGTTAGTGTTTTGATTGTTTGTCTGATTTAACATTTAACTCACAAAAGTGATGTTTCTCGGGCTAAGCAAATAAGAAATAATGAAAATTTACCTTGCTCCATGTATAAGCTTCTTCTGCTGTGCACTCAGATTGTGAAGTTGGGTTGGAGAGAGCAAGAATGAGCGGTTTCTACATGCCAAGAAATATCACAAATATTAGAGATAGAATCTTCTCATCAGGTAGTGAAAATATTATTAGAGAAAGAGAGAAAGTACCTCATTCAAGGATGTCATGGCTTCAACCACATCCTTGGTAAATGTCTTCCCTACTCCAGATGATCCAATCAATACAGTTGGCTTGATGGCCTGATGAATGAATTGTAAGATATTGTGTACAAGAATTAAGGATAACAAATATTTTATGAAATTAAACCAAAATCGGTGACATTTTCCTCACCTTGACAGCATCTAGAAGCCCCTTCACAGGTTCATGTTCATGGGCCCAAGGCTTTTTGAAGTGCTGAAGTGATTCCAGACGAGAGCTAACAATAAGTCCCTGGAACAAAAAAAGCATGTTATGAGATGATATGGAAAAAGAAGATCTAGAAGACAAAGAATATTATTCTCTTCCAGTTTGCCAGGCACTTCAGGCATTTTACCTTGGAGTCTACAAGCCAGATCTTCTTGCGGGTCTCTTCCACGGGAGCTTTTGTCTGGCCAAGTATATAATATTTAAATACTTCATAAAGAAATATCATCAAATAAAAAATAATACGAGTATCAAGTTATACCTGCTTTGAAATCTCAAGAGCTATCAGCTCTGCTATACCAGTTCCAGCCTTCAACAACCAAAAGATAAAAATAAGAAATTTCCTCCAAGAGAAAAACACATAGAATTTCATTTCATATGTATATTTCTGCATTCTCATAAATTATGGATTACTAAGGAAAAATGAATACAGGCCAACAGGGGAAAGGTACCAAAGCATGATAAATATTGAAGGTAAGTATGGAAGTCATGGTTTTTTTTATTTTTATTTTTTTCCTTTTACATGCAATCTGAACTTTTGAGTTACCTCTCCTGCTCCCAGGAATAAGAAGGTATGATCGGGTAAACTTCCCCCAACTAATTTCAGGGAAGCAAGCAATCCTGCTAATACCACTGATGCTGTACCCTGAATTAAACCAAAGAAGATCAGAGTCAGTAGCCTGAATTAAAATATGAAATTGTGCATACAGCCAAAAGCTTTCAAGCATGCTACCTGAATATCATCATTAAAAACAAGATGAGATGAGCTGTATCTTGCCAGCAGATCAAATGCATTATGATTAGCAAAGTCTTCAAACTGAAAAAGAAACATGAAAATTAGTTAAACAATAGATTCAAGCAAACCAAAGCCACTCCAGATGCTGAATCTGGTATATAACCTGTACAAGAACTTTCTCCCCATAGTTCTGCTTAGCTGCACGCATAAACTCATCTAGAAGCTCCGCATATTCCTAAACACAATAAACAAATATCAAGTTAGCCGTATAGAAATTTCACACTCAATAGTTGTAGTTAAAAGGGGGGGGGGGAAAAAGAATTGTGCAGTTGTTTGAATGTCTGTAAGTGTGAGGGAAGATCAGACCTTTCCAGTTGCCCGTTTTTGTTTTAGTCCAATGTAAAACTCATCATTCAGCAACTTCTCATTGTTTGTTCCAACATCAATGGTAATAGGCAAGCACTGAAATCATAGATCCAGATAGCAATTGAACAATTGATAAATCATGAAGCAGGGAAAGGAAAAAGGGAAAAGAGCATCTAGTAGTTCTTACTGATGAAGGGCGGACACCTCCTAATGCAGTATAGAGAGAAAGTTTCCCAACAGGAATCCCCATTCCCTGACAGAAATTTTTTGAAGAATTATGTTAATATGGTAGTCAGTGTGTGTAATGCAGATAAAGGGACTAATGCTATATTCTACCTGGCAACCAAGATCTCCAAGTCCCAATATACGCTCACCATCAGTCACAACAATAACTTGAATGGTCTTCTCTGGCCAGTTTTTCAGTACTTCAAGGATCTTGCCTCTGAAGAATTGAAGTACTTAGTATTTTCTCAAATGCTAACTTAAAAACAAAAACAGGAGTGCCATGAAAAGCCATACTTCTCCTTCAAACTGATATATAAACCCTGAGGACGCCTAAAAATGCTTCCGTATTTCTGGCAGGCTTCTCCAACCGTTGGAGTGTAAACAACAGGAAGCAGTTCCTCAACATTATCAATCAGAAGCTTGTAAAACAGCCTTTCATTCCTCTCCTGACAATAAAGAAATGCCAAAGACAGTGAGAAATGCCAAAATATAATAGGTCTTGGTTATATGTTCCTTACACCAGCAGATTATATACTGGCCTATTTCATTTTATTTTATTTTTCTGAAAATAGTGTGTTATATGCACCCTTCATGGGAAAGATTGTATGTAAGTCAGCAAGTACCTGAAGATCCATCATGGCCATGTACCTATGCAGAGGAACCTCATACTGACGAAGATTGTGCATCAACCTCTTTTCCTGAACAGCATAATAACAAGAAGAGCAGTTAGCCAAAAAATCCTCAGACCTAACTGCATCTAAGGTACCATTTATGTAAATAAAATAATTGAATACATCAACAATAACACTAAGCCATCTTAATTAACCTGAAGATCTTGATTGAAGACAGCTGGAGGCAAAAGGCCACGCAAGTAATGAGCATCTCTTTCTTTCTCGGTGAAGGCAAGTCCTTTGTTGTAGTGTGGATCTCTCAGCAAAGTGGAGCCACTGTAACACAAAAATGCTTGATTAGCACACAAACTCTATGCTGAGATCTTAAGAAAGTGCCATAAGGAACAAGCGAATGGTGGTGGATTTTGTTCTCAAACTATTAATAAGACTGTACAAGATCATTAAACATTAAACTGAAGTACAGAAACATATGAAATCTCAATGGTGAATCATTGCTATTAAATAAGACCGAACATCTATTAAATTTACTAACACTAAATCTCAAGATCATATAGACAAATGGAGCACAGATCCAAAACGCACAGAGAAACTAAAAGGTACATAAAATTTCTTGCTTTTTTCTTTTTTTTCACATTTGAGATGTCACCTGGCAACTGAGAAAGTCCATGGAGTGATAAGCTGGTCCTCTGTGGCACTATCCTCACCATACAGGTCCTTAACACCCCCACCGTTCATATAATCCTCAGTAACTGAAACACCACTACCGTTGTTGCTCGACATCACTGCTAAAAACTTTCTAGTCTCTGCAAGTGCAAGTGATTAACCAAAACACAAAAGTTAGAAAGAGATATTGCTGCTACACATTAGATGAAAAAACAAGCAGAGGAGGTTTCTCACCTGTTTTACTTCACAACAACTAAGCAGAATCAGACAGGGGAAAAAACTAAATGCGAGGTTTGTGTGCCTGAAACGTTGTATCTATATATAAGCTCTTAAAACAAACAATGTTTTTTTACTTT